TTCAGATGTAGAGTGTTTACCCTTAATATTAAAATGTAAATGCTGAATACTGATCTAACCAAAAGTATAATACAAATGCATTGGAGAACGTGTGAACAGGGAAGACTGTTGTATGTATGACGAGGTGTTAGAGCTAATCTTTCATAGTGGGGAGTTAATTGATAATATACCTGTGTCGTGTCCAGCACAGGCAGGTTCGGTGAGCCTGAGGAGGGGTGGTGAAGGATTAAAGAAGACAGACAAGAGCTGGAGTTCCTGGGATGCTGCTTCTCTGATGGAGAGACAGCACCATGGCCTGCAAGCCAAGTCTTTATTTTATAGTCAGAGCACACAAAGCAAAACAAGGGTAGTGGTCAACATGTTTACAATGCTCTTGTGAGTTTCACCTTGTTTTGGCAGCACTTGCTGCACCTCTCACAGCCCATTAGCTACCTAGGAAGGAACTAGGAAGGGCTATAAAGTCAAGCTTAGTTATACTAGGAGAGCTCTGCCCTCCAAGCTGGGACTTGTTTGTGGCCCTGCCACAGGTCAGTCTGAGGCTTAACCCTATAGCTGCTCCCTACATATACCTATATCTGAAAAATCAATAAGCAGAAATATGTGCATGTTATTTATAAATATGTAGGTAAATTTAAAGAACATAAAGAGTTGCTGGTGTTTTAGAGAAATAAAAAAAACCAAACAAAAAATGGAAGAAAGCCAGAATGTTGTTTTATGTGGCAAGCCTTGTAGAAAGTACAAAATTGAATCCTTAAACTACATGCTTACATAATCTATATATATAAAAGGTTAATATGCTAGGTGTCCGACCATCCGACCGGTCGATATGATGCGCACTAACCACCAGGGGGAAGACACTCAATGCAGGAGCTGCCAAGCTGTAGTGACTTGGCAGCAGCGGTTCTCGGGTGGTGCACCCCGAAACCCAAGAGGAGGGAGCCTGATTCCTTTCAGGGCCGCACGATTCCACCTTTGGCCATGGGTTATGTTGTTGCTGGGGCACTGTTGGCCCCGAATCTGGTTTATTACACACTTTGCATTTGTGTTCCACACCCTGTTCGACAGCAACTTTGTAGAGTGCCCTCTCACACTCTGGGACCCCTCAGGGGACGTTGGAGAGCCGGTTTTGGCCCGATCTCCATAGGCCTGCCAGAGGGACCCTGCTCACTCTGCAGATGCCAGGGAGGGACTGTGGGAGGTTGGCTCCAGGGCATGTCTGGCCCATCTCCCCCAGTCCTGCCCTGCTGGCCACCTTCTAATTAATTTCCTTTCAATATGCAAGAATTTGTGCACTGGGTCAGTAGTTCAATATGAACAAATAATGATTTAAATAAAAAAAAAATTTCAAATGAAAGGGTTATATATGAGTTAGTTCAGGAGAAAAGGGACAAACCATTTTCTCTTTCAAAATACAATATCTATCCTTTCACTTGATCTTAAGCCTCAATGTTAAGTTCCAAAGCTTTACACCTTAGTTTTCTCAGAAAAGAGCAAAATGTGTCTACATGAAAAACCAAAACAAAAAAAAAAAAACAGAAGCAAGTACAAAGAAAAATCAGACTGAAATACAGCATCTATTAGTCTCCTACAGCTCTTTATCAAAACATGGGATCTTGAAACCTGAGTGAATTTGAAAATCCAGCCCCTCTGCTACTCCTCTTTCTTTTGGATTCATTTTTCTCCCTGCTTCTGGTGTGTTTCCAACCAGCAGGGGTGGGAGGGTGGTGCGTCCCTCCTGCCCAGATATCCATTCGATAGCTGGGTTCCATGCTGAATGACAAATTAAAAATCAGCACTCTGGACATTAATTTTGACCACTGGAAGCAGGGTTCCCTTGGGAGTCTGCTTGTATATATGTAAATGTGTGCATAGCTGGCTGTAAGGCAACTAACACAGTTTGTATCAAACCTTTGTGTGTCTGAGTCTCTGTCAGCCATTTTATAAAACACCTATTTGAAAAGCTGGTCTTTTCTTTCCAGCCTTGCAAATCCCACAAAGAGATTATCACTAAATAAGCAGTAGTATCTTAAGTGATGATATCTGCAAATGAACACCACATACACATGTATGCACCCATTTACACACATTCATCAGAGCAACAAATTTATATAGAATAAGAAAACTTCATGTCTTCTTCCAGTGACCTACAGCCTCACAAGTTGTCTTAAAATAAGGTGCTATGCACATGCTTTGAGCAACCATTTTCTTGCAAAAGACCTTGCTTCCCTCCAAAAAGACATAGTTCAAAAGACTGGGAACAAGAAATCCTTTCTCAGCCACTCTGATGAAGTCTGTGAACTGACATGGTAAATTTTAATCCCCTTCATGAACGTGACTTTATCTAAAAAGTATCCTATTATTGCTCTTTAATTTCTGGCATTTGTCTGAAAGAACATCCAGCATGAAAAACCTAAGAGATAAACCTGTACATTGAAGAGGTGAGAGAGCAGGGGCTCTGAGAAGGCAGCTCCATGCAGCCAGTTAGGTATGGTGAGGAACAGCCCAGCCTCCTGACGTCTGGTCCACTCCCATGGCTGACAGTGTAACGAACTGTTCAGAACATGAAACCATTTGATGAGAGTAAGGAAAATGCCAGAAAGCGAAATGATTTCTGATTCCCAGACAGCAAACTTTGTTTTCATGTGACATATAGAAGAAAGCTGCCTTGTTTTTCAAGGAAAATTCTAAAAAAAAAAAAAAAAGGAAAAGAAAAGAGAGAGAGTTAGAGTTAGGTAAAGAAAGCAATCTGCAAACTTGGCCCAAAGAGAGAGCCAAGCTCATGCCTACATCTACCTTATTTTAAAACACTATTTACAAGATGTTTGTTGAGTATTCAGTGATGTTAGGAAGGAGACTGGTGAGGGAGAAATTTGAATGTACACTTGAATCAGACATATCTCTGACACCCTCCCCATCCACCCAAGGCTTCCTTAAGTACCATTTTTCTAGGGTAACTAATTTCCCACTAGAGTAAATTGAAGAAAATAAAAAGGAAGTTTATTCCCAGAAACCATTTCCTTAGTTTTGACATTTTTTTTTTCGGTCAATGTTTTCCCCTTTCTTTATTACCCTACTTATCTGGTGTAATTATGACACAAATTTAGGAATTTTAAATGCACAGATATCTTTACAATTGAGCAAAATAATCTTGGACTATGTTCTGGGTAGGGAAAATATAGGCACACATTCCAACATTAATCCTTTAAACTGCTATGAATATAATCAACCAAACTATCTCTTTCAGTCCTTTTCTGCTTGACTCCATTTTAGAATTTCAAATTTCATCTCACAACCCCTTTATTTGCGAGTCCTATATTTGCTTCTGACTAACCTAAATCATTGCAGCATATGTATTTCCAAAAAGCATAGTCTATAGCTGAACTGAGGAAGATAGGTGAATCCAGGCACAGACCACCTTCAATGAGACTCTGGGGGCTAGAACTACTTTCATGTCCTGCCAATATCCAATGCTATTTATAAGAACATAATGGAGAGAGTATCTTCTGAAAACCACATAGCCAGAAAAACAAATTCTAGAAAAACCAGGCTATGTCAATATGGAAAAAAACAAAACAATCTATGATAGACTTGCTTCTTTTCTGTGCCAGATAATCTCCCTGGAAAACTAGTAACTGGCAACGTGGAACCAGGTGCCTTCTCTCAGCTTCTTTTACTTGGTCACTCCAAGGGAAGCCTGGGCACCACTGCCAATGACTGTCACCTCATTTATCAAGGGAGCATTCTATGAGCACAAAGAGTATTAGGTATAGAAAGCAATTATTAAACCTTGCCAAAGAGAGAGCCAAGATTATACCCACCTTTTTTTCCTACTTGAAACTCTCTTCCTTTCTGTTTCTTTGTCCCCTGGGTAACCACAGTCGTTATGGTCTGTAGTCTGATGCCACTCTTCCATTTGAGGGAATAAACATTCTTTAGGGCAACCACTACGCCCAGTGACTTTTGAACCCTGCACATGATGACCATCTGGATTAGGCCTACCTGTCCTGACACACAACTCCATGCTCTTCCACTTGAGACTTTAACCAAGGCCAGCATAGTCTGCAGAGATTAAACACACACATGCACACCCATAGCTCTAGCAGGTGACTCCATGCCCTTGTTCTTTAACAGGCCAAGTATATTTATTACTTTTCCTCTCAGGAGAAGGATCCTGTCCTCTGGCTCCCCATCCAGCCTCTATAAAGTTGCAGTTACATGCCCACTTTGCCAGGTAATTATTTCTTCTAAAAATAGTATAATGATTAACATCTCCCCAAACCTAATTACAATTCGATTCCTAGGTAATCTATTACATTGGACATATACTTAAGTTCAAAGTGTTTTTTAAGGAGGATTCAGGTCACAGTTCCCATCTCAGCATCCTTTTTTTTTCTGACATTCTTTCACATGACAAGTGACATATTTCCTCTAACCTTTATTCCAAATCTGTTAGGCATTCTATGGAGATAGGCAGATAGATTAATAACCAAAAGTCCATGCACCCTTCCCTGCTGATTTACAATCCGTAGGATATTCCTAATCTTATGACTCGGTCACTAACGTCTCTGCTTCCTTGGACAGTTAATGACAGAGGTGGATAGGTAAGGAGTTTCTAATAAGTCAGGAATGGGTTTTATTTAAAACTCCAATTGTGCCTTTGCATTTTTGGGATTTCTGGAATAAAAATAGGTAACCTAATTTGCACATTCTTTCAATGCTCTCCCCATGAGTCTCTGCGCTTCCTTGGCATTCTGCTGAATATGCACCTCAGAAAGAATTCAAGGCTTCCTTGGCATAATTTTGATGAATAGGACCCTATGAGGCTTAATAAGAGGCACCAAAATGGACAGGCACCTAAGGGGAAAAACAGGTCTGTGTTGATGGATGTCTTTCCCAGGGGGGCTGGGGCACTACTGAGATGCAGTTTTTCCAGCAAGTGGTAAAACGACAAGATAATTCAAGGCAGCTCATGCAAGGCAGGATGTGCAATGTATTTTCTTAGCAGCAACGAGTGTGCAGAAGGAATCAGATAAGCATCTGCTTCACAGGGTGCCAAAGAGTTATACAGCAGAGAAGAAATGTACCAGCCCAGAAAGGGTCTGCATGGAAGGGAAACGGGAAATCACCCTCATCAAGTCAAGTGATGGTCCAAGGTGAGCTTTATTGATTCATTCATTATCCTACTAAATTCCCATCAGAACGTTCACTTTTGATGTTTCAGTTTATTGTTTAATAAAACAAAATCAGGGTTTTCTAATCTTCAAGTTCAGTGGAAGCGAAGGCTGCAAAGTATTATAGCAACTATTTCCCTATAAGATTAAAAGTGATCACTCACAGAAGATGAAGCCATGACTAACAGCATCAGCTGGATTAATGGGGTGGGGGTGCTGTTGCTGTCCATAGCAGATAGAGCCACTGAGTTTCTCCCCACATGGACCTTTTTATTAACCTTTTTTGAAGATAGAAAAACTTTTTTTTATAAGAAATGTTTAGATTGTACAGCCCACTATGTCTCATTCTGCCGATTTCCTTTATCTTTCACTCTCTCTCTGACAAAGATTGAAAACTTCCTAAGTGGATTTGTGTTTCAGTGTCATGGGTTGTATATGAAGCATGTCTTGTTAGTCTAATGCTTTGATATCTGGGACCTTGCTGACTGTGGATGGACCTCCAGGGCTAGCTAATTCCTAGAGATAGTAAATGACTTGCTTGCAAACCCACCTTTCTTATTTAAACCAACTAATCCAGAGTACACACCTCCAACAACCTGTCAGATTCTGACACTCAGGGCCACTATCCAGCTGCCTTAATCATCTAAGAGCCACGTATTAGACAACCAAGAACAGTCCCTATGCCCCTGAGTCTGCTGAAATTATCCATACTAGCCAAGCCTATGCTTGCACACCCACTACTCCCACTTCCTGCCACAAAAATAATAATAAAGGCTCTTGCCCAGATTGTTGCCTCATTCTCCCTGCCTCCTGATGGAACCTGGCACTTCCCTGTATAGCATGCCCCCTCCCCTTGGGGCCTGTGAATAACAAATTATCTTTCCAAGGGCAGTCATCTGCTGATCTATTGGCCTCACCACACCCTAATAATAATGAAACCTGCATTTATTTACTTATTTTTAAATTTTCAATTACATTTGGCATATAATATTATGTTACTTTCAGGTATACATGGCAATTAGACATTTATGTAACTTACCAAATGACCACCCGATAGTCAACCCTGTATTTTAAAACAGACTGTAGTAGGCTTCCTTTAATTTCAGTTTGTCATAAGTAACCATGGAAATGAGGAGGATCTTGGTCTTCTCCACCTCTCTACATATAAAAGAATCTCTTCTCATGGAACTCACTTTCAAAAACTCTGCTCCAAAAGCTAAATTATGTCATTGTAGAATCTCCTGAAGAAGTAAACTAACAGTGACTCCCTTTCATCTTGATCTGAAATCCTACAAACAGGAAGAAAAAACACAACGAAGAATCACAGGATGGAAGAAGGACATAGTCCAGTGGAAAAGCTACTTTGGAAGGCTACTTGTGGTATATTAGTGGCAAACACATCCTAAAGGGCAACCGCTGTAACTGCCTATAGTTACCTCATCCGAAGAGAGAAAATCCTTCATAATCCCCATGCATTATGCATGAGGAACAAACAGTATGCTGCCTACAGAAGTTACTTCTACTCACATCACTGCTTCCCCCTTTTAGAACAGTGTCTAAATACCTAATATAAAGGTTGTCCAGTTACCATAGGAACTAGGGATTTGATAGGTATGAATACATGGATGGTAAATTTTAATCACTTTCACTGAAGTTAGCATATATTGATAAGAGTTGTTTTGCCTAAAGGAGAGTGCTACTTTAAACTATAAGCACCACCTCAATAAATAAATTAATACTTTAAAATGTTGAATACATTTTTTTATCTATTGCTTTTACTGAATAATTTTCTAAGACAGGCATTCTAGATTTTGTGGATTCAAACTGGGGAATATGATCCCTGTCCCTAAAAGGATCACTGTTCCTGAGTCTATGCATGTATACTGTAACTCAGTGCTATGGGTACAGTCAGTCTGCTGTGGAAAATTTTCTGTAAGCCTACAGGGAAGGATAGAACAGTATTCACAAAAGAATTCAAAGGATATTTCAGAGAATTGGCTTCTAAAAGATAAGGGGAGGTTATTATGGACTGAATTGTGTCTCCCTTGCCCCAACCAAACCCTGAAGGTAGGGTCTTTAGGGAGGTAAAGTTACAAGAAATTATAAAAGAAGGACTATTCTATATATATAAAAGGCTAAATGTCTGTCCTTCCCTCTGACTGGTAGCTATGATGCACAATGACCACCCGGGGGCAGACGCTCAGTGCAGGAGCTAACATGATGTGCACTGGCCATTTAAAAATAATGGCAGCATGGACCTGGCACTGACAAACCAACACTTGGCTTCCCCCAAGTGGGAGGCAGGACCCCCACCACCGGGGAACTACACCCCACCAAATCACAGCCAACGTTGCCAAGACGCCATGGCGCAAAATGTGGCCCACAGCCCAACCCAGCCCAGAAATGGTCGCTGTAGGTGCTGGGTAATGATGTCACGTAGCAATGCCTGGCTTCCTCTTCCTAGTGACTAGCCTCCTTGGAGTTTCTTCAGCCCAGGAACCCGACTTGCTTTATGGCCAGGTACAAACATTTTACAGGTTAGCCAAATGTTTGTGAAGCATTTTCCCATGCCTCATCTCATTTGATCCTCATAGAAGTCCTGGAGTAGGCAGATAAGAGACTCAGTAGAATCCTATTTTCTTTTCATTAGCCAAAAAACAGAAATTTAGAAAGTTTAGAAACTTGACCCGACTGAAAAGAAGTTAGAAATGGTGGACTTCGAAAATGACTTCAGGTTTTCTCACTACACAGAATATAGTCAAACACTGCTGCAGTTAAATATTTTACCCTTGGTTCTCCCTGCATGATCTACAACAATAATCTGCTTCATGTTGATATTTACTGCTATGTTGCTGACAATTACCTGAAAGAGAAATTGGGGTGCTTCACTGGGCTGGAAAAAGTTTAGCTAAATCAGAAAGCAGGTCTAATTAAGCAAGTTTATCTATATATAAAAGGCTAAGTTGACTTGCTGCCACCAATCACTCGCCTGTGTTTCTGGCTGTCATTGTTGATCGTGAATCTGGTTGACACTTCTATTATAGAGAAAGGGCAAATAGTGTTATGAAAATATTTCTTCTAATTAATTTCCTTTTAATGTGCACTAATCTGTGCACTGGGACACTAGTGTCCTTACAAGAGGAGAAACCATGAGTGCATATGTACAGAGGAAACAGAACCCTATATTCAAGGACATAGGAAGAAGGTGGCCATCTGCAGACCAAGGAATGACACCTTAGAAATCAGTGCTATGAGGACCTTGACCTTGGACCTCCAGACTCCAGAACTGCAAGAAAAGAAACTTCTGTTATTTAGGCCATCCAGTCTGTGGTTTTTGTTTTTTTGGTTTTTTTTTTTTTGTTTTTTTTTTATGGCAGCCCAAGCAAACTAATATGAAGGCTCATAAGCAAAGAAGGAAGAGTGGCTTTAGAGGATGTGGAGAAAACTTATAAAAAAGACAGTAATTTCTTTTTTATTAAATTTATTGGGGTGACATTGGGAAATAAGATTATATAGATTTTAAGTATACATTTCTATGATACCACGAAAAGTCAAATCATCTACTGTCACCATATACTTGACCCCCTTTACCCTTTATCATTCCCCCACACCTCTTCCTTCTGGTAACCAACATACTGTTGTCTGTATCTATGAGTTTTTGTTTGTTTTTCTTGTTCGTTATTTGTTGCTTTCAGTTTTGTATCCCACATGAGTGGAATCATATGGTTCTTAACTTTTTCTGTCTGACTTATTTCACTTAGCATGATATTCTCAAGATTCATCCATGTTGACACAAATGGCAGTATGTCATCTTTTCTTATGTCTCAGTAGTATTGCATTGTACATTTGTACCATATCTTCTTTATCCCCTCATCTGTCCAAGGACAGTTTGGTTGTTTCCATGTCTTGGCCACTGTGAATAATGCTGCAGTGAACATAAGGGAGCATGTATTGGCAAATAAATGTTTTCCAATTTTTCGGGTAGATGGCCAGAAGAGGGGTTGCTGGAAATTCAGTGTATGATGAGAGGTTTAATGAGCTTCCCAGGAGCCTAGGGGAAAGGAAGCAAACTGTAAAAAGTGAAAAGACTACTGAAATGTTTTGGGAAGGGTTTTGAATGTTAAACACTTTGCAACTACTTGTGTTATCTTAGGGAACCCAAAGAAATGTTAACTAGAAGAGGAACATAATTATTTTTAACTAGTGGCCTGCTGCACAAAATTCATGCATGAGGGGGGTGTCCCTCAGCCCGGCCTGCACCCTCTCCAACATGGGATCCCTCTTCCAATCCAGAACCACTGACTCCTAAGCGCTCACCTGCCTGCCTGCCTGATGCCCCTAACTGCTCCCTTGCCAGCCTGATGGCCCTAACTGCTTTCCCCTCCTGGCCTGATCCTCCTAACTGCCTACCTGCTGTCCCCTGCCTGCCTGATTCCCCTAACTTCTCTACCCTCCTTATCAGATCCCCCAAACTGCCTATATGCTCTCCCCTCCTGGCCTAAACCCCCTAAGTGCCCATCTGCTCTCCCTTCCTCTCTGCTCTTTCAGATCCTGGCACAGGAGTGCCGAGAGCTCTCTGCCGAGGCCCCACCCCAATCCGTAGGCCTGTATGAGTCTCCGCTAGGGGGGCCGCCCGCTGTCCTGACAAGCACATGCCTCTGCTGGGGAGGGGGGGAGGGACAGGAGGCAAGAACCACTGTCCTGATGACCCCTCCAGGCCAGGCGTTGAGGCGGACCTGTACGCATCTCCGCTGGGGGGAGCCGCCCTGTCCTGAAGCTCCCCTCTGGGTGGGGCAGCACAGTAGGTCTGTGTGCACCTCCACCAGCAGCCTCATGTTCCAGTGGTGCAAGTCCCTGCCCCCGTCCCCACCCACCAGCTCCTGTGCATGCACAGTCTGTTGAACAGTCGTGACTGGGACATCATTAGGACCAATTAGCATATTACCTCTTTATATATATATAGATATAGATATAGATATAGA